TATGCTTTATTTCGTTTTTTGCCATATGCATTATTTCGGTTTTAAACCGAAACTGTGCATGTATGCACTACTTCGTTTTTTTTCATATGCATTATTTCGGTTTTAAAACGAAAGTATGCATATGCATAATTTCGGTATTTTCTCATATGCATTATTTCGGCTTTCAACCGAAACTGTGCATGTATGCATTACTTCGGGTTTTTCATATGCATTATTTCGGTTTTCAACCGGATCTGTGCATATATGCATTATTTCGGTTTTCAAACGAAAGAGTGCATATGCATAATTTCGGTTTTTCTAATATGCCTTATTGCGGTTTTCAACCGAAACTGTGCATATATGCATTATTTCGGTTTTTTTCATATGCATTATTTCGGTTTTCAACCGAAACTGTGCATATATGCATTATTTCGGTTTTTTTCGTATGCATTATTTCGGTTTTTTTCACATGCATTATTTCGTATGCACAGTTTCCATATGCACAATTTCAGGGTGCCGTTTGATTTCATTTTTTGCAATCATTAGTTCATTTCGCTTGAGGAGTCACAATGCCCATACCGGCTTTTTTTGAAATTTCGGACACAAGTTTTCCAATAATGGTTATAGGCTAAAACAAAACCGATATCTAAAGGGCGTGTAGAACCTCCCATACAAATCGAATTTTTCATAGTGCATATCTCTGGAAGTATTTGTGGTAGGGTCCTGGAACTTTGTATGGATATATGTATATGAAGTCAATCTTAAGCTCATGGAAAAATAAGAGTTTATTGGAAAATGCGGCGTGCCACCGTAGAACTAGGAATAGAGGTAAATGAAATCAATCCAAAACCTATGAAAAATGGGGGTATATGAAAACGATCTCGAAGCCATTGAAAGCTAGCGGTATAAACCAAATAAACTAAAATTCTTGTGACGCATAGATACCTCTGGAAGCATTTATTTTTCCAACGGAAATATGTACAGGAAAACGGGCGCGACACCTTCTGGAAAGTAACATGATCACAGGGTGTATCCCAAGAACCATTTTAAGCAAAACCTTCAGGGTTAACATTCTCGCCAAGACCCATAGGTATAAGCTGAAATTGCGTCGCAAGTTTTATGATCGGCTTAGGTAAGGTTTAACCACTTAACCCCCCTTTGTTTTCGTCGCTACTGAATTCTATAAACTGTCAGCTTTCATACAATTTAAAATGTACATGTAAGAACAAAATATTTTTAAATCGACAAAAAATTAATAAGAAAATTTGAAGGATTTTAGATATTGGGTATGGTAGCACGAAATGTCACAATCTGCTTAATTGTCAGGTTGTTAATATGGCGACGAAAAAGTGACAATGGAACTACCTTGTTTTTTGTATCATGGGGCGGAATATTCATCAATTAAATAGAAAAAAATTGAAAACGCGAAACTATTGCATGAAGTGAAAGGGTAATAATAACCTAACCAAAGGCTTGTGAAATGGACTATTTCAAAAACAATTGGACCAATGGACCAAACGAAAAGAAATTGACCAAATTTGGTCCATTTGGACCAAAACGGCAACCGTGCTCACAACACTAAACGAAACGATTCCTATAGTATACATACATGCATACACATTGTGTATATCATATGCAACTGAAAAATGCTTGATGTTCTTATGTTTTCACGTGAAATTTATTAATTAAAATTCATTTAAAAAAATATGTACATACATAGTGATACATGTGTATTAATTTTTATTAAATTCTCCATTAGCTCTAACTGGTAAAATATTTTCCAAATTTATTGGTGTTAATTTGTTCCGCTGGTTGGATAAAATGTACTTCAAGGAAGAACATAACCGCTCCACGCTGACTTGAGTACAAGGGATGGCCAAAATAACTTCAGCTATGGCAGTCATGGAATTGTTTTGATTCTTCCAAAATCCCAGTATATTCTCTCCAAGAGCTATCCTGTGTTGTCGTTCGTACATAAATATATCAGTTTCGATGCGTAAACTCGATGAAGTCGTTGGCTCTTCATTGATAGGCGTAGGGTCTAAATTGGAAAGGAAATCATTTAGTGATTTTGGCGCTGGGCTTGATTGGCTGCTCATTGCGGGCTCATCAATATTTTGTTGCTCGGCGCATGGTACAATAAAAACAGGTAGAAGCCAATTTGACGTTAAACCTACAAAAGTCAAAGTTTTCGGGAGAGTAAAAATAAAAATGTGTAAGGAAAAATAAAAAAATTACATTTCACTGGTTGACGTTTTTAAGTAAATTTGAAGTTTATTTTTATTTATTTATTTTCTTTAGTTAAAATTTGTTAACTCGTATGTTGTTTTCTGTTTTTGATTTATGACATGCAGTGTTGTTGGAGGGACTTTTCGTCATAAGGGTCATAGGAACAGCACTTGGCATCAAACTTGCCTTTCCTGTACCTCCCGGCGTATTTGTGAAATCTGCTCCTTTAAAATGTTCAACACACAGCAAAGCATTTTGCACCTCTGCCCCACAACTGCTTTCACAATGCTCCTTACGCGAAGGATATTGAGGCACCTTAAAAAAATTAGTGGTATCTGCTTTATATTTAACTCCACATAAAAAACAACGCTTCAGGTGTTGCATTTTTAACACATACACTAAGTATAAACCGCACAACGCTACAAAAATTCAATTGTTAATTAAAATTTGTTATTAACGAACATTCAAAAAAACTAACGATATGACATTCAAAGCGTAACGAAATATAGGAAATATAAGAAAAACAAGTTGAAGTTTAAAGGTTTGGTTCTCATGAGAGCAACGTCATTTTGGCTTCTACCTGTATTTGTGTGCCTTGGTTCGGCTCGTGAAATATTTTCTGGGAATATTATTGACAGAAAAAGGCGTGAGTACCAGGTACTCATGAAATTTCATGTGTAAACATCTGCGTACTGCTTGGCAAAGCACTAGGAGATTCAGTTACATATACATATAGCTGTCCATTAACGTCGTTTCCGACTCGTTTTGGTGAACTCGCCGTCGGATGAAAAGTCGCAAAAACGACTTACCGGCGGGTCGCAAAAACGACTCCCCTGCAGTCCGCAAAAACGATATACAAGCGAACTGCAAAACTATGCTCAAAATCTATACCAAATTTAAAGTAAAAGTACAGTTTTATACCAAATTTAAAAAAACTTCATACCCACAAATTTTATTTTTTATTAATAAGGTCAATAGAGTGAACTGTACCTTTATAAAAAAAAAATTAAAATAAAATAAAAATAATATGAAGAATATTATGAATACTGAAAAAAATATGTAGGCGGCTTAATTTTCTGAGTACAAGTGTACATTGTGGATTCCATATTCTGTCATAATAAAAACGGTTTAGTATCCAAATGAATGACTTTTATTTATTCTTATTTATTCAGACCGGAGGTTCCTCAAAAAACTTGTGGGTTCGAAGAAACGGATTCGTTTTGAGTTCACCCAAACGGGCGTGGAACTTGTCCAACCCAGACCGGAGGTTCCTCAAAAAACTTGTGGGTTCGAAGAAACGGATTCGTTTCGAGTTCACCCAAACGACTTCACCAGAGCGACGTCGTTCCGAGTTCACCAAAACGACTTCGCCAGAGCGACGTCGCAACGACGCGGGTAACTGTGCGACCTCTTGTTTGCAAACGAAGGCTAAGATGTTTGCACATAAATAAAAATTTATAAATGTATGTATGTATTTAAAGTATAAACTTATATCTCAACTAGGGAGATAAAAAATTAAATTATTTATACATATCGTGATATATCAAATATTAACTTTTTAAGAAGCAATCCGGGTATGTAAATGACGTACGAAATTCATCGATTGTGCAAATTGAGTTTAAAATAACTGTGATTCTTGGGTGCAAATATACAGCTGCATTAAATAAATCGTTTTCGAAGAGCTTTGACTTTCTCTTATTTAAACTTGAAAGTAAAGAAACTCAAAGCTCACTGCGTGGAAGGTTTTCAACTTGAAGTATAATATCCATTATAATTATATATAAGTCACTATAAAGCAATTTTTCAGACTGTAACTTAACTATGGCAGTATAAAAACTTTTGAATATTTTCAAAAATTCTGGTATAAAATTCCACTCTTCGTGACTAATTAAAAGGTCAGTATTTTCCAAACTCAATGAGGTAACAAACTCTTTTAACTCGTATAAATTTTCGATCATATTATATGTTGAATTCCACCTTGTAACGCAATCTAAGACAGATATCTTGTAGGCACCACTTTTCAAGATATTCAGGTATATTTGGCATCTTAATTTCTTTATAACACATCTGCATTTTTCTATTGTATGCCTGGTTTCCTCTTTATTTAAAACATCATTTACGCAAAGTTGCAGCGTATGGGAGCCACATCGGATGCTAGTTATTATTTGTGAACGAAAACTATTTTCAATCAATATCAAACTGTTTTCTGTAAAGTCGTCTTTTTGATCATTTCTTAGGTCTGCGTTTAAGTCATGTACCGCCTTTACCATGTTTGCTCCATTGTCTGTTGTTATGGTCAATATTTGGTTTATGTCGATTTTATAATCATTTAGGACTTCTAACTTTACAGACTTTAAGTAATGACCTGTATGTCTCTGCCTGAGCTCTTTATTTGCCAACGTTTGACNACCATGTTTGCTCCATTGTCTGTTGTTATGGTCAATATTTGGTTTATGTCGATTTTATAATCATTTAGGACTTCTAACTTTACAGACTTTAAGTAATCACCTATGTCTCTGCCTGAGCTCTTTAATTGCCAGCGTTGGAATTATAATGGTTTCATTTTTTATATATTGCACATTTATACCGATCACGCTCAGATGTTGCCGCGTTGCCGCATCAATTTTTAACGATAATAAGCGCCCTTTAAGTTCTTCAGTTACTGTGGATTTAATGTCATTTGAAAACACTTCAATTCGTTTAATCACATTATGCTCATTCAGATTTATTTTTAGCTTACTAAATATTGGTNATTAATATCTAGCTTACTAAATATTGGCAGTGTAAGTATTTTGAAGGCACGATCATCGGCCATGTGTAAAGGCCTACCATTTTTGGTAAATAGTTCAACGATTGCCATTTCAAAATTTTCTTTATTAACTTCTGTTGTTATTTTTACATTGGTTTTACCTTCCTTAACTTTCAAATTAACATTATTTTTTTGCCTCACATAGCTTTCATATAGTTCTAAATGGAGTGTCTTTCCAAATTTCCAGCATGTTTTCCTAACCTTTTACCACAACAATTATAATTTTTACATACAATTTCACTCTTATTGTCTGTCTCAAAATGTTGGCGCAGTATATTATTTTTAGGACGTGGCATTTTGCAATGGCATAAATACGCAATATTCATTTACTGAGCACTAAAGGAATGATTCGTTTTGTTTTGTATATTTTGTTTTGTTTCGGTTTTGCTCAGGATGAGTACCTTTACCACAATCGAAACCATGCAAGTGAGCAAAAGAACAAACGATTCGTTTGGTTTGTGCTCTGCTGCCGTTGAAACGTATCGTGCATTGTTAGCGCTCGGGAACATTATGAGAAAAGGAACACAAACTTTTCGTACTTGTTGTGGCAATGGGTAGTGATACGTTCGGTTTGTTTTCGTACTCTGAGTCTACATATGACTGAACTTCTACTAAATGTGGCTAATAATTTCCCCCCTATTATGAATTTCCATACGATAAACGATAAACGCTTGCAAGCGTATCGTATGAAATCAGTATTGGTATTGTCGTTTTCATACGCCCGATAGATGCACTATTGTGAATGACCGTGGTTTTTGTTTACTTTATTTTGTGAAATTGAGAGTGAGCAATAAAATAAAAATTAAAGGACATGGTTTCTACAACATCAATTGCGTTTTTTATAAATTTAAATGAAGGATATAATGAGACTCGCATAGAGGCTATCGAAAGAAGAAATTTAAGAGATGCTTCGAATCCTCTGGAAATGAATTCTATATTGTAGGTAGCTCATAAATGTACGTTCAATAATAATAAATAATAATAATAAAATAATAATAAATGTAAGTTCAATAATTAAGAAGCGCTTTTAGTTTTCAGAGGAATTTTCGACTTTCCAAAGAAGCAGTTATTTATATCCTGAATGAAGTAGAAAACGAATTGCGTGTACGGAAAAATAAGTCATCCATACCAAATATAATAAAGGTATGCGCAACTCTAAGATTTCTAGCCCAGGGATCATACCAACAGGGTGTTGGTAATGAGGCGTTACTTGGCTTAGCCCAACCTACTGTTTCCATTGTATTGAAAGAAACATTGAGTGCTTTGCAAACCACTCTATGTAGTAAGTGGATTAGCTCCAAGTATACTGAGGAAGAAAAGAGAAGAGCAAAATCTAGCTTCTTTGCATCAAGTGGTATTCCCGGAGTAATTGGATGCATTGACGGGACCCACATTAAGATTGTGGCACCAGAAAAAAGTTTGCAGCATTTGTATTACTGTCGAAAGGGGTATTTTAGCATAAATGCAATGCTAGTAAGTAAAGAAATTTCTATACAGTAATTTAAAGTATTTTAAATTTAATGTTTTTTCCTGTTACAATTTTGCGCCCGTTTTAGACCTGTGATGATTTAATGAACATAAAATACATCAATGCCAAGCACCCCGGCGCTACACACGACTCCATGGTTTTTCAAATGTCGGGATTAAAAAGACAATTGGAGTCAATGTATAACCGTGGTGAATCTAACACCTGGTTATTAGGTACTCAACTTGTAACTCAAACATTTCATATTTAATTTATTTACTTTCTATGTTTTAAGGTGACGCTGGATATGCCTTAGCGCCTTATTTGCTAACACCTTACAGGAATCCTGAAGAAGGTTCAGTAGAAAGTTTATATAACTCGCGGCACTCTAAAGCAAGGAATATTATTGAAAGGACGATTGGGGTTTTAAAGAGTCGGTTTCGCTGTTTGCTAAGTGCTCGCGCACTTCACTACACTCCTGCAAAAGCCACTTTGATCATAAATGTTTGTGCAGCTTTACATAATATTTGCAATCATTACAATGTACCATACGACGAAGAGGATATTGCAGATGTGCAAAATGAGAATTCGGAAATTGCAATAGAAACTTCTGAAAATGACTCTACTCCTATGCGACAAGCTGCAGAAGAAATCAGAAGAAATGTACTGTCTTGTTTGCATTGATTTTTACTATATTTCTTTAGGTTTTTATCAAAAAATAATAAAGCTTCTTGCTTCAGGTACAAACTCAAATCCATTGTTTTTTTATATAAAATAAGATCACATTCGTAGCTTAAAAGTAAATGTATCTACTTAAAGAATTCAGTCCACTATATTTTCTAAACTTACTTAAACAAACTAAAATTCACTTTTTTTTCATAAAATCACATTCGTAGTTAATAGTAAATGTATCTACTTAAAGAATTCAGTCCACTATATTTTCTAAACTTACTTAAACAAACTAAAATTCACTTTTTTTTCATAAAATCACATTCGTAGTTAATAGTAAATGTATCTACTTAAAGAATTCAGTCCACTATATTTTCTAAACTTACTTAAACAAACTAAAATTCACTTTTTTTTCATAAAATCACATTCGTAGTTAATAGTAAATGTATCTACTTAAAGAATTCAGTCCACTATATTTTCTAAACTTACTTAAACAAACTAAAATTCACTTTTTTTTCATAAAATCACATTCGTAGTTAATAGTAAATGTATCAAATTAAAAAATTCAGTCCACTACACTACACTTTATAAATTTACATATTTACATACTTAAAACTAACAATTTTTGTACATATTCTGTTTGATCTCAAGAAGTTTTTTCTTGAGTTCTAACTTCGCTTTCCTATCTCTTCTCTTACTTTCCATTTCCTGCTTATAAATAGCGAATTTATCTTTTTTTATATAGTAAGTTTTTTTTGTGTATACTTCAATATTTGAAAGGCTTTGTTTCATCTCTTTTAGTGTGGCCAAAGTTTCCTTTTGAAATTCAGCCTGCTGATCCGTCTGCCGCTCAAGGAGTGCAATTTGTTTTTCTTCTCTCCTTTTAGGGTTAGAGCTGCTATTTCGGCCATGCTCTCGCGAAGGTATCACATTTCGCGAAGGCCCTGGGATATCGTGGTCTGAATATATTTCCACTTCCGTAACGGACTCATTATCGTCATTATTTTCTATTCCAAATTCTTCGCCTGGCGGATTGTTGTAAGTGGTGTAGCTCATTAGCCTGTTCACCGTCTCTTCCAGATTTGAGAGTGGAACTGTGTTATTTGGCCCACCTCCAGTTGCTAAATTCTCTGCGTGGTTGTGAGCGCTCTTTTTCTTTGTTTTATACTTTAAATCGTTTCAAACCTACAGTAATAAAATATTTTAGTCTTTCAGTTCCAAATATACGCACTACTAATATGCTTACTCGTTGCCATGCATCTGATGATCGTGTTGGTGGTCCTAATGAGTTCAGCTCCTGAGTAATTTTTTCCCAACGTGGTTTCGCGACAGCTTTATGACATATTCCTCTTGCGAGGTCGGTATTCTCCTCCATTAGCGAAGCAAGACGCTCTAGTTGATGCTTTGTACTCACAACTCTCGGCCTAAAGAAATATTTGAATTGGGTTTATAACTAGTTCATAATTTATTTTTGCTCATTTTAATACTTACATTATTCCAATTTCTCAAAATAATTAACAAATTTTAATTTGGTATACTAGCACAGCAATCTATCGTTTAACAATGGCGAACCGCTTGCAAGCGTCTGAAATCGAACGGCTGAGACGATAGTTATCATTTGGCAATATCATATTTTTACGATATACGATAAACGCTAACTATCGGATTTCATACGATAGACTTAAATTCGTAATACGGGATAACAGAATGCAAGCGTTTATCGTGTATCGTATGAATTCACAATAGGGGGGTTTACTACCTGTTAAACAATGACGTAGTAATAAAACAATTGAAACTGTTATCAAAGAAAATAAAACGAAGATCGAGTTTAGAAAGCGAACTGGTCTCATTATTGACCAGCCAAAGTTTGGATTTGGCAACACTTATATTGGTAACACGGCAAAGCGATTTTTCCAAAATGAAAAAGTGTCCTCACACATGACTGGAATAGACGAAAACTTAATGAGAAAATTTTACATATTTTTACAAGCTATTACCAGTGGCTTTAAAATTAATGTCATTATGTTTAAAAACTGTTGCTTCGAAACAGCAAATATTTTGTTGAACTATATCCACGGTATTATATGAGTACATCAGTGCATGAAATTATCAGCCTCATTGCGTAAGTCGTAAATTAGGCTGAATTGTACGACTCGACAACATTAGCATTGTCTACTGTCGTGCTGAAATAAGTAAACGACGAAAATTGCCGAAAACTATGCAGTGCTGCCAAGTTCTTCCGTTTTAATACACTAGTCGAGTGGAAATTTTAGGCAATGACCATTTTACCCATCGGTATGCTTTCAGAGGAGGCGCAGGTAGCTAAAAACAAGGAATTTAAGAATTTTAGAGAAAATTTAAGACGAAAAACATCACGATTAGATACTTCGACAATGTTTGAGAATGCTCTTATCTCCAGATCGAAACCTGCCGAATACTAACAAAATGCAGCTTTATACTGAAGTAATCGATATGTTTGAACCGGAAGACATTCCCACGACAGCCGGTTCTACGTACTGGAATGACTAGGGTTTTACCCGACCAACGGCTGTTGTTTCGGCGATCTAACCCCGTTTAGGTCGGCGAAGTATCTCAGAAGTTGTTCGTCCATAGGGCTACATTCGCTACGTTTTCTTCTACTCAGGGCTGGCATCAAGTCAAACCCAGGGCCAGAAACCTACACCTGCTGCCAGACGACTACCCCACAACTCCACCTCAGTCAAGTGCAATGCTTGCGAGGGGTGGAGTCACCTAAGAGTCTGCTCAGGACTACGGACACATCGGCAGTGGACCACGCCTTTTGTGGCCCCCTGCTGCTCAAACAGAGCAGCCTCCACGGCTTACCCCAGTCCACCTGAGCAGTCCTACACAAACACCACAGCACTACAACATAACACAATAGACCACACCACAACTGCTACAGACCACAGAACACACACAACCGCACCACCGCACCACCGCCCACACGCCGCCGCCAACAACTCCTGGTTCCTCCTACAATCTGCACGGTATGTCAGACCAGGATATTCCGTAATGTNAGGGCATGCTCAGGTCTGCGCACCACGCGAGATTGGACGAGGAACTTCGAGGGCCCGTGTTGTGATGCTCGGTCGCAGACCTAAACTGCGACGCCTCCCGCCACCACCACAGGGCGGCAACCACTTCAGCAGCGCACATAGCCAACTGCGGCACGACCACACACATCCCTCACACACCGCATCACCACACGTCTCCCGAACAACATGAAGCTCATTCAATCTAACTGTAACGGGCTCCAGAGCAAGATCGAGGAGATAACCGTCTTCATGGGAAGGCATGGCATATTGATAGCTGCGGTCCAAGAGACGAAGTTGCACAGCAATTCAACACTGTTTAATTGTGCCGGGTACAATGGTGGTGGCTTAGCGTTCATCACGCACAACACCGTGCAGTATCGTCTTATCGAAGCAGACATCGACCGCAGGGATACCACCCTAGAATGTCAGGGCATTGCTATCCGGTCAGGCGATGTTGAGCTCGAAATATTTAACATTTATATACCCCCTGTCACCTGCTGCCCGGGAGGATATCACCCTGACAGAGGTGCGCTCCTCAGAGGTGAAACCCGTATGGTAGTAGGCGACTTTAAATCGCACCACGATCTTTGGCATTAAAGCCTGTTAAATGATCGTAGGGGAACAGACTTGGCTGAGCAGATAGATGATTCGACATTCTGCACAATGAACGAAGACGCACCCACCAGGATTATGGGCAGCTGCTGCAGCTCGCCAGACATAGCAATAGTTAGCGCTGGTCTGATAAACAGCATATCATGGCGACCTATGCTGACTTTGGCATCAGACCATTTGCCCATAGTCATCTCGATCGATAAACCAACCGACTTTGCTTCCGCGGAGCACCGAACATATATCAACTTTTCTAAAGCTGATTGGTAAGGCTTCGCGGAATTGACTGAAAACACCTTCGCTGCCACCACACCACCACACTAACCGACGTCCACCTTGGTGAACGTAAGTTCCGCAGGGCTGTCACCGCTGCTGCAGCTCGCTTCGTACCGGCAGGATATATCACGGACCCACGTCCAAATTTCCCTGCTGAAGCGGCTGTTCTAGCTGATGAGCGTGATAGCCTTCGGCAAGCCGATCCCGGAGATCACCGTATCAGGGATCTCAACGCGGAGATTCGGC